CTGAGGTGAATAATCAAAATTATTCCACGGTGTTTCTTTCAATATTATAACAATAATTTTGATTATTACACTTTTTTCCTACGCATAATAATATTATACCACCTTTACACGAATAATTAAAATTATTCCACATAATGGGTGACAATAACAAGAATTATTCCTGATTTGGCTACTTAGTAAATCCGACAAGAATGTGGTATAATATGATAATCTTATGAGGAAAAAAATGTAATAATGGAAATTCTTAAACGAGATGAAATAATCTTGATGCATTCCTCATAAGATTATCATATTATAGTGTACGCAAAGTATTGAACTGCTGCTTTATAACCAGGTAAAAATTTGAGTTGTTGAGAACCATAAACTTAAACTCCTGTTACCTGGGAGCCAAACTGACTAGTGTCCTGGCAGTCCATTCGTTTCTCAATCTCAGCTTTTGCTCCTCCTTGTCCAAAACCTTCTTCCCGGATCTATCTCCTGGAACAGGTTTATGTCCAGGCGGAGGTTTGTCTCCGCTCTCCTTCTGCTCCGACTCCGCCGTGAGGTAGGAGAGGTCAGAGTTCTCTGTATCCTTGTTCTCCGGGGTTGAATTGAGCAGTTTGATTCCTCGGCATAATTCCTCCATGTGTGGATCCAAGTTCTCCGGGTTTAAGTTCACCGGATCCAGTTTTGACAGGTTGAGAAGAATAACTTGAGTATTGGCCCATTTTTTCCGACTTTCATCACTGTCATTGTCTTCAATGTCAGCATTGGAAGAAGCGCCCGTCTCATTTTCTGAATTTTCGCCAGTTCTCTCTGAGCTTTTCTCGTGCTCAAACTGGTTAATCATCTCCGGCGGGAGTGGGTTTAATGATTGTAGAGGTTTACTTGGGACTTCCTCTTTCTCTTCCTCAACCCCTGTCTCAATATAGTCAGAGTCAGATTCATTTTCTTTAAACTTAGTTTCTCCAGTATTGGTTGGATGTCCGTAATCCCACTCCCAGCCATCCTCATCATCGTCATCGTCATCGTCATCCTCCTCGTCCTCTTCATTCCCGTCCTTCCAGCTTTCGTCCACTACTCGCTCCTCTACAGGTCTCGTCTCTGTTTTCACAGATTTTATCTTTGGAATGGATTTGTCGTCTTTATTCTCTATCACAGATTTCGCTGCTGTTTTCAGGACAGATTTGACTAGTGCATCCTGTTCAGATTCTTTCATCTTCCCTTCATCATCCTTAGTATCATCCTTCTTCTCCTCCTTCCCGTCCTTCCTGTTGCGACGAGATTCCTTCTTCTTCTTCAACTTCTCCTTCTTTATTTGACCCTTGGACTTCTTCTCCTCCTGGACCCCACAGCAGGTGACTCTCACATCGTCATCGTCGTCAGGAAGAACTAGATCAGGGTTCCGGGCTCGAGGTTTATGAGGTTTATCTTCAACAACAGGTAAACTAAACACACAAAAAAAACATCAAACAGAGGGATGCTTAAGGACCCAACAAGGTCTTGGGAAGCCGCGGCAGTGTAATTTTCCCACCTATATTTATTGCATCAATATTGCCACCCTGTAATTAAGAGATAATAGTTATTTTTAAACTTTTGAACAAGGAACGGATCAAAGAATGGATCAAAGAATGGATCAAGGAATGGATCAAGGAATGGAACAAAGAATGGAACAAGGTATGGAGAAAGAAATGGACCAAAGACTGAATCAAGGAATGGATAAGGAATAGATCAAGGAATTGATCTAGAAGTGGATCACAGAATGGATCAAGCCCAAGGAATGGATCGAGGAATGGATCAAAGAAGGGATCAAGAAATGGAGGAAGAAATGGATCGAGGAATGAATCAAGGAATGGAGGAAACTGGAAAGGTCTTGGTTAAGAAATCAATGAAGAAATTAGAGAAGAGATTAGAAATGGGGTCGTGAGGAGATTAGCTGAGGGCTCAAAGATTATTTAAAGAATTATAAAGGTTAAGAAAAGGGATAACTGGTTAGGGAGGGATCAAGAAATTTGATTTCAGAAAAGGGATCATGGAAGGGATCAAAGCTGAGCTTGAATTAAAAGTTATTTTATTTATATATTTACCTGAGATCAAGAAATGATTCATATGTTTGACTTGAATAATGACATTCTTCACAGACAACTGTAGACACCATTTGACCTAGATCACCCGGCTCAATTATTTGTAATCAATCAAACTATAAAATCAATCAATCTAAAAACCAAAATCAATTAATCTAAATACCACCAAGACTGCTAACAAGGCTTGAAGTAAGTGGTTTAAAGAAAGTAAGGTAGACAAAAAGTCTAAGAAAATATTAATCTTTGTTTTTAATATTTGAGCGAGAGTTCCCTGAGAATATTTTATCTAGAAGAGTATGGTTTCCCGTCCTCCCGTACAGTTTCAACTTTTTCCGAACATTTTTAGGAACAGCTCCGGGATCCGTCTTCTCCGACAACCCGAAATATTTGAGGACTGCGCTCTTCTGCCTCTTCACCTCCTCACTCCTCAACCCGTCCATCAGGTACCTGAACAATGTTCGCGCTATTTATGGCAACCGTATTTGGTTTTGGGACAAAGTATATTTATTTTTAAAAATTTGACCCCTTTGATTCTATCCTCAAGTATATTATGTATCCTCAAGTATATTATGAATATTAAAGTATATTCTTGACTAATGATATTTCAAATGCGATTTTTTTTTCAATCCCCCAAAACATGAGTTTGTGAATTTTATAATAATTTTTCTCGGCAAATTACCTAAGTAGTTCTTGGCTGTCTTGTTGCTGCATTCCTCGAAATTTTGGAGACTGTTTTACAACCTAGACAGTACACAGTACATAAACAGTAGACAGTGCATTAACAGTACAAAATGCATAAACAAACAGTTGACAGTACATAAACAGTAAAAATTACATAAACATTACACAGTATGTAAACAGTAGACAGTACATAAATAGTACACAGTACATATACAGAAGACAGTTCGAAAACAGTAGACAGTCCATTAACAGTAGACATCCATAAACAGTAGACAGTGCATAAACAGTTAACAGTACATTAACAGTGTAAACAATGTACAAACATGCATCAAGTGTAAAGTACATATTATAAAACATAAAAACGTACAATTACAATGAACATAATATCCCAGTTAACGGCTTACATTAATTTTACATTACACGTTAACACTGCATATATGTAACACTACCGTGTACACTAACTTAAACAGTACAACACAAACGTACCAGCTCACACTACAGTATACTGCACACAAGCTTTTACAGTGTTTACAATTGTTAAATTAACACATTGCTAGTACACATTAAACAGTAATTCAATTGAAAATTATCTTTAACTGAATCAATAACTTGTTAAAAAACATAAAACTGAGTGAAAGGTTCATTAATTCATTGAAAAAAATACCCACGATTATTTTCCCAACCCTCATTTACATGCTAAAGATGTGACCACTGACCAATTCATTCAATCCATATATTTCTACATAATAAAGCTCTTCGTTCATATATATATATATATATATAAGACCCAACATTGAGCCTTTCTCCACTAAAACCAACCAAGGTCGGTTTTATTTTCATTGGGCCTAACTCCATAATGTCGAGCCTAAGATCTCGCAGCTGTCAATCACGTGACATAAGCTGTCGTCAGAGTTGGGTCGAAGATTGGGTCTTAAAGTCGGGTTTAAGGAATTACGGCTCGAGCCGAAGCTTTTAAATCGCGGGCTCTGGAGAAACTAAAGCCACAAAAATATTTTTTTCTTCTTCAAAATTCAGCAAGTATATTATAATAAGTTAATTCCTAACCTGTCCGAAGAGATGGGAAGGACTAATTGTTGTTGCTTTGCCATTAGAGTGCATTTCTTTAAGGAAAGCAGCGAGGCTGGTCATCATAGGACCCCCCTTATGTTCGGCAATTGGTATTCAAAATTATTATTTATCAGCAACTTATTTATTACAATTTTTACAGGGTCGTGTACATGAGACATCCCCCCCCCTCCTTTCGTTAGAACAATAGAATTTCCAGGTTTCGTTTTCCACAAAAAATATATTATAGGCCTTTGAAATTAAGAGGGGGGGGGGACTATGAGCAAATTTGAGAATGTCTCATATTAGTATTCAACTAAGAATGTAATGACATATGCTGTTTAATTACAAAAACCAAAAAAGGCTATCCAGTTCCTACAACAATCAAAGATGATTCAAGAATCTATTATGAAAAATGATTCCAAGCATTAAATCATATGAGCTTCCTGTATTGTATATTCTGAATACAAATCCTGCCTCGGTTAATTGAACACTTAACTCAGGAATCCCAAAACTACCAATATTATCATTTTCATCCTCTGATAGTGTATTCTCTCCAGTACACTCTAGTACCTAGATATAGGACAATATTATCATTCTTGTCCTCTGATAGTGTATTCTCTCCAGTACACTCTAGTACCTAGAAAAAGGATAATAGTATCATTCTTGTCCTCTGATACTGTATTCTCTCCAGTACACTCTAATACCTAGATATAGGACAATATTATCATTCTTGTCCTCTGATAGTGTATTCTCTCCAGTACACTCAAGTACCTAGATATAGGACAATTTTATCATTCTTGTCCTCTGATAGTGTATTCTCTCCAGTACACTCTAGTTCCTAGATAAAGGATAATATTATCATTCTTGTTCTCTGATATGTGATTGTATATTTAATTCTAAACAGAAAATATCGCCCTCTATCACGAAATATCAAATCAATTTTGATTTCAATCAAATCTTTTTATAAATAGATTTTTGCTAATCTTGGAAAACCGGACGTATCACCCATATTTACTTTCCTTGCAACCTTAATCGATATTCTCAGTTAAAAAAGAGGATGCACATAGGCGGACGTACTCATTCACAATGGCATGCATAATAATTAGGACCTACAGTAAGGACGCACATTTGGAATGAACTACAGTGTGACATAATGGCAGTTTTATGTTACAATTTCAAAATTTGTGTAATAAAATTAGATCTGAAGATGCACTTCGGGAGACGTACTTTTTCGGAAGCAATAATTTGGTTACAATAATAATCATGACGTACAAGGAGGACGCACATTGAGAACAGACAAGCGTGACATTCATATTTTAGTTAATGGCAGATTAATAAATTATGATTAAAAAACCTGAGTAGTAAAGTTAGCTCCCTTGGTTGACTGCAGATCAATGAGTTGAGTGAGAGGATGGGTTTGGGACAAGCACTGCATCACGGAGTTAAAGAAACACGTGTTTCCTAGGTTATTCAAACCTTTAACCTATATTCAAGATAATGACAACGTGGATACAGTGGTCCCCATGAAACTGTGGGATTATATAAAATAAAATCTTTAGTCATCGTCCTTGTGTTCCACTGTAGTAAAAACATTAAATGTTTTTTTTCTATCTCATGGAATAAATCTTAAAAGTTGAAGTTGTATAATATCAAAAATATTAAGTCTTTGAGGTCGAGTTATAAGAAAAGCAAGATGTTTCTTGTCCGCATCAAACTATAAAAAAATCTAAAATTCAGTGATGGTGATGGACCAAACCTCTGTAGAGTAAAAAAGTAGATGTTAGTTCCACATTTACATTTATATCCCAATCTAGTCCCATTGTGGATAAATTTATATTTTTGGAAAAAAAGACACTTTTGTTGTTTTTGACTTTATCTTTCCTTAGGAAGCTGACCAGCCTGCACTGCTACATTAGTTTGATCCTTCAACTCTTTCCCGGTCAATTTAGGCAAAGACATACTGGGCATCACTGTCTTAGCCATGTGTTTACTAGGATTTGAGTCGATTTTCTTGATAAACTCAACAGCCTCGTACAGCTTCTTGTGACTGTCAATGAAGATGTCCTTGTTGCACTCGTGGCAGAATATTGTCCAGGTTTCAGTGTTTACGAATATACAATGCAGCTCAGATCTAGTAAATCAAAATTCAAATATTAATAGGGATTAAAATAATTTTCGAAGAGGGGGGG